ATAGTATTAATTGATTGGCATTAGTAGTTATTATAGTATGTCACAGTTTGCCGTGATCAACAATTACAATAACAGAATATGACCAGAGCGACCATATAGGAGCCTAAGATACCAGCATAACAGCACAATATCATTATAGAGTGTAACATGATACAGTGAGCATTATGATGGCACATATATTCAATGATTGACATATTGGAGTTATTATAGTGTGGTACAATAAACCTTGATCATTTGCACAGAAGGCCAGATTGAGCAGTCGATTATATGTTATAGAGAAGGATTGTACTGAGTTTAGTAGTTGAACAAAACATTCATTGTACCGGAGCGACGATTAGAGTAACCATTACCAGCAAACATTAGAATATTGCTAGTATCATCACAGGGTGTCCCAATATACATTGTCTGATTATTAACATTGAATCAGTAACATTCTGTCTGATATCTGAAGATTTTGTGGTTTATTATGTATAAATGAGAAATTATAACTGAAAACTTACCACTAAGTAGTATCTATGCATTCATGTGCATTCATAGCATAGGGAAGTTGTTATGGCAACATTATAAGTATGCAACCATTATAGGTTAACGTTAGTTCATGAGTTATTAGAATATAGTTAAGTGTTGGGACTCGCACAACGAGGAGTTAGTTAGTTCGTTCAGATGAAAACACAGGGTTTCCACAGTCAGTAGGTAGTATAGGGTACTCGCTGTGAGCTGTTAGGATTACCCAGTTGATTTGGTGGTACCACAAGGTTAAGTTAGAATCTCAGATAATTTGGGTAACCAGCGTCACAGACAAGTAGAAGTAGTGAGTAACCATTACTGGTCGTTATTTGGTTTCATTACTAACCGCTTTGAGAGTTTGTGGTTTAACTACCCTTTTATTTTACATGTAATATAGATGTATATGTTACTTTAACGTTGTTTCAAAATAGATTTCCATATTAAAACTACTTATATTTGTGAGTTATTACAAATGGTTAAAAGAAAATGTGCCTAGATTCATCCCCCCTTAATCACTGCCTCCCCACATCACCCGATTACCCAACATCTGGGACAACCACGTATGGGGAGAACAAACATAATTAGTGTACCATAAATCCTTTACCGTATATCTATTCAGTCCCTGAAGGACAGAATTATTGAGAAGTGAAATTCATTGTCTCAACAGCATATCAATGATGCTATTGACCGGTTTAGGCCAAAGTTAAGGGCTACAATTGATCAAAATGGTGGACATATTGAACGTCTTTTTATGTAAAAAAGTTTCGGAAAACCCGTTTTGAAACGAAAATGACGTAAGTTATAGAATGGACGCTGGTTGACAGACGTTATAATAAATTTTAACTTATGATATACCAAATTAAAGATGAGTAAATTTCCCATCCATTGGTATATAGTATGACATGTTTTAATCAAGAAAATCAATATTAATTTTGAAATACGAGTGTCCCATTTTTTTAGACCACCCTGTATATTTCATAGATGATAATCTAGCACAAATAAAAGTGAAACATTACATATCCGAGCCTATTAGAGCCTTTAACATACTGAGGTACAGTGTAACACCCTGTGTTCTATATCATATTTAACTTAGAAAATTTTGTTAATTCTTCTAATGTTATGCAGGATTAAAATGTTCGATAATACTGTAGACAATAATGTTCGATAATATAGATGCAAATTAGGGCCATTTAACCTCCATGTCTGTTTTTGCTCATATCTTGTAATCTATGTGGAGTCATAACCTGATAGTCTATACAATGGCGGAAGGAGGACCAACATTTAAGCACCCCACTCCGCGTAAAAGTTAAGTGTTTAGATGACATGAAAGATTCCCTTTCAAGGAGAGAATATCTTAAGCTCTGGGAAGAGGTGCAAAAATTAAAGGCCGCGTAAGTCCGCATATATAACGCCAGAGTTATTTTTATTTCTGGTTGCTTCTGGAAAATTATTTTCAATAATTTTGTATAATAGACTTTACGCATTTGAATATGACCAAAAAATAATATCGGAAAATCAAGCCAGTTGCAAGAAAGCACGAACAACCGACCACATGTTCAAAATACGAACCTCAGTGGATAAACATGTACTAAGTAACAAAGGGAATATATAAATGTGTTTTGTTGACTTGAGGAAAGCTTTCGATATGGTATGGCGAAATGGGTTATTTTTGAAAATCTTGCAATCGCGAGTTAACGGTTTATTCTATAAAATGGTAAAATATATATATTCAGAATCAAAAACAAGAATTAGACTAGATAAGGAAAGTTGATTTACCAATGAATTCGACTGTAACAAGGGAATAAAACAGGGGGACCCCCTAAGTCTTCCTCTATTCAATATATATGTAAATGACATTGTTTAAACGTGAAATCTAAAAAATGACCATTTGGTAAATAGTAAGCGAATTGGAAGCCTTCTTTTTGCTGATGATTTTGTAATTATCGCATCCTCAAAATGCTTTGTTACTCATAACATATACATCTGCGCCTGTGTCGATCTTGAAACTCACAGATTTACCACAAATAAGGTCACACGCCATGGTGGCTCTATTTGCCTATCTTGAATCAGTGACCTGGCAGAATCAACAGAATGCACAAGCTCACCTACATAAAACTCAGTAGTGTCAAGATCGGCATCAGAACATTCATCATAACATTCGTGTTCAACTCTTTTATCAACAGATTTCTTATTTTATTTACACACACTTGAGAAATGATTTAATTTCTTGCAGTTATGACGGCAAAGAGTAAAAGGTGGATTAGATCGAGTGGATTGGATCCATGTAAAGGTGGATTGGATCGGCAATCTTCAAAATATCGATTTTCCTTAACAATGCTATTTATCTCCCTCCAAGAAGATCGGTGCTCTACTCACTTCCACAATGTCAAATAATAGATGATAAATTATTTTGCTTGGGTGGGCTGGAAAGGTGACCTGCTACCCACTCTCTGATACACAATCATATTCATTCCAAGTGTAATTTGAGACATTTCATAAATCATAAGGCAGACTGGTTTGAAGATCCATATCATCTGTTTTAAGTCCAAACAGAACATAGCAGAAATGTTTTGGTAATATGTACACATTAATTTGAATGACCGCTTTTATCTACAGACCTATGTTCATTCCATACAAACGTTGATTTACAAGAGAAAGCAGTTAAATATTTAAGGAGTATCTATCAACTAATCGAGTATATACAGGTTGGTCCAAAAAATGGGACACTCGTATTTCAAAAATAAATATTGATTTTCTTGATGGAAGTATGTCATAATAGAGAGGTTTCGCAAAACGATTTTTAGCTCAACGGATCCGTAGCCGTAACGTATTTACCAGATTTATGTGTAGGATCTTCTTTGGCCGAACCCTCTAGATTACTTAAGATAAAGTCGGTTTATTGTCCAGCTGACCATTGCCAGGCTCTAATATCGACTGTATAGTGGAATATATTATGATTAAAAAATAAATTTTTATTTGAAAAATGGCGGGAAATTCGAAATTCGAATTCTAAATCTGTTTCTCAAAAATCTCTAAAATAACTTTTAAAGCCATGACAAATATTAAATGAATGATAAAAAAACATTTTCAAACTTTGAATGGAGACTTTAAGGTAATACAGTATGTCAGTACAGTATGTCATTGCGTTATGGTGATCGTGTAATAAACATAGTTGAATGTAGATATAAAATAATGTTTTTACGACACTGTATTTATCAGGTGTCTACATGAAGGTTCACATTAATAGACAAGTCCCTGGATGGTATGTTATTGTACATCAGTTAAGTGTCAATGCTTTGGGTTGATTTTAAAATGAGGAGTCATCGACCCGATTAGCGACTCACGTTTTATTTGTTCGACAACAAACACGATAGAAATTCCCCCAAAATTACATACATACGTGTTTTAAAGAATTAAATGAAGGTAGTTTTAACATTGGCACAGTTTTAAAGTACTTTGCTAATGACGCCCCTTGTCCCATCTATTGACTAAAACGTCGAATTTAAGAATTGATTGGTTATAACTCTGACCATATCACATCTCTTTACAGATTCAATTGACGTTGGACAGTTCTCTTTTTAAAACTTTCAATGGAATACATATTTGTTATTGTCCTTTTTGTGTTTTGGGATGAAAATGAACACATTGTGGTACAGTTAAGCCTGTGTAAAATGAACACCTTTGAACTGTCAAAAAGGTCAAATGCCCACGATACACTGAAAAGTGTTCCACTTCGGGTGTGTTCCACTTACAGAGGTGCATTATTAGGTTAAATGGTCATGATACACTGAAATTTGTTCAACTTCGGGTGTGTTCCACTTACAGAGGTGCATTAAACATTAGGTCAAATGGTCATGATACACTGAAAAGTGTTCCACTTCGGGTGTGTTCCACTTACAGAGGTGCATTAAACATTAGGTCAAATGGTCATGATACACTGAAAAGTGTTCCACTTCGGGTGTGTTCCACTTACAGAGGTGCATTAAACATTAGGTCAAATGGTCATGATACACTGAAAAGTGTTCCACTTCGGGTGTGTTCCACTTACAGAGGTGCATTAAACATTAGGTCAAATGGTCATGATACACTGAAAAGTGTTCCACTTCGGGTGTTTTCCACTTACAGAGGTTCATTAAGACCAGGACAGTAGGTCACCTCGGATGTGTTTTATAGGCCAAATGTTCATGGGACTCTGAAAAGTGTTTCTCTTATAATCAGCTTTTAATGTGGTATACAATTTGAAAGTTCTTATTGGATGGGCCATTACATACTACATACTACATACTACTTACTACATACTACATACTACATACTACTTACTACATACTACATACTACATACTACTTACAGCGTACAGAAGTGTTTCACTGTATTTTAAAGATTGCTCCAACGTTTTACAAACTTTTATTCTTTTCTGCCCCTTTAATTTATTTGTATTATCACCTCGACCTTTACAACATGCCATCTTTAAATATATCACATGATTTAGTCACGTTGAAGTCTTCACTCGGAAAAGGTTTAACTCTAATTTTCTTCCTGCTCGATCAAAATGGGAACTAGGCTACAATTTCTAATCAGTCTTTGTCTGCTAAAGGTCCACAACTGCAGAGAATATGTTGATATGACTTATGAACTATTTGAAGGTTTGCCGAAAACCACTGTAACACCGGATTTCAAGCAAGCAGTGATTTTTGAGGGACCTTGGCTGAAAACAAAATTGTAAGAGATTACTAGTATTTTATTTTTTTATTTTGACATACGCTTTTTTAACAGCGGCACACTATTATTAGGTGCGTCAGTATTTGTAATCTACATATATATTTTATAAGCACTAAAAATGTTTACATAAAATACTACAGTTTTCTAGGGTTAAAAAGTGTTGCTAAAAACATCTTCACATATTTATCAAACATGTCATGCCCCCATTCCATAAAAACCTTATCACCAAGTAGTGTAATTAACCTATCATGAATGTTCGAAGGCAATAAACTGCTACTTAAAATGGGAGAAACATATTTCTCTACATCGTTGTAAAAGTCGGACCTGGCTTTGGCAAAATGGGGACACACCATTAATCTGTGTGATAGAGTATCTCTCATATTAAGATTACACATTATACATATACCATCACTTTTGCCCCACTTTTCATAATTTGTCTCAAGGCAGAAATTATTCGATCTTGCTAGAAATTTCATTTTCGATCCATAACAATCAAGGTCATTCTTAAGGTACCTTTCGGTGCGGTTATTTGTTTTAACCTCCTTATATATTTCAAGGGAGGGGTGTTAAGCTACCCTAGTGTGGAAATTATAAATGCTTTGGGATTGAGATATAGTTAAAAATGAGGGGTACCATTCGCTGTCATTCCGAAAAATAACATCATCTAAACCTTTATCTCTTAAAATATTCCGGGCATTTGATGCAAATTTCCAATATGATTCTTTGCCGACTTTTAATGATTTTAGCAAATTCTGTAGGATTTTATGAGGGAGGGATGTAGTTGGTACATTAAAATTTAGGTAGTTCAAATAGTCAATTTGTCTTTTTTCAATCACCTCTGCTATCGGTTTCCAGCCTAAATCCCCCAATATAGATTTACTGGCGGGTTTACTTTTAATTTGAAAAATGGCTTGGGCGGCACCATATTGAAATGAGGTAATTTTGGCAAGGCTTGACTTTGGGAGTACCCAGGTCGGGTATCCATGCAGGATAGCAGGTGCCATCATAGAGTTGTAAATCGTTCTTCCAAATTCAATGCGCTTGATATTACAATGTTTGGTTAAAGTAGACCTTAAATAATTTTTCATTTTCCTGGCCTTTTCATATAATTATTTCAGATGTGCAGTTTCTTTGAGACTTCTATTGAACATTACTCCAAGATATTTGTACTCATTTACCTCTGGCAGTCTCAAATTCCCTAATGACCATACATTTTCCGAATCAAGTCTTTTCCCTATTATCATTATCTTAGACTTTTTGTCACTGAACTGAAATCCCCATTTAAGTCCAAAATTATTAGTGATTGTTAACATGGACTGGAGTTCTTTCTCAGATTGACCCATTAACACAATGTCATCTGCATAAAGAAGACAGGGGATTTTTTTATCTTCAAAGGGCAGACCAAAACTGGACATTCTTAAACGGTCTTCAAGGTCTGTCATTACTATGGAAAAAAGGGTCGGGGATAGAATACAACCTTGCTTCACTCCAGATGAGGAGTCAAACCAGTCAGTTTCATATTGTCCAAAGATGACCTTGTTTGAAGTGTTAGAGTATAGTGATTTCAAAATCCTCCAAGTTTTACCTTGGATTCCCCTTTCCCAAAGTTTTAGAAATAGCAAATCACGATCTAAAACGTCAAATGCCTTAGAGATGTCAATGAAAGCTAAATAGGATTTGAGTTTCTTATCTTTACGAAGGCTACATAGTCCTTTAAGGGAAAAGATATGATTTTCTAATCTTTTGCCTTTTTGAAATGCGCCTTGAAGGTCACCTAAAAGATTGTTTTCACGAAGAAAGTCCATTATCTGGTTTTCCAACAGACTCGAGAATAATTTATACATATTGGATGTAATCGTTATTCCACGATAATTATTGAAAACTTCTGGATCACTTTCCTTATGGAGGGGTTTGACAATACCTTGTTGCCAATCAAATGGAATTTTTTCAAACATTCTGATAGCATTAAAAAGATCTAAAATAGGCTGCGAGAGAACTTCTTTACCATTTTTCAAGAATTCATTGGGAATTTGATCTATACCGACTGCCTTTCCATTTGAAAGACCAGATATATGTTTTGATAAACTTGCTAGATCAAAAGTAATATGACTGAGTGCTCTATCACTCACAATGTTATCAAGCTCAATATTATTGAGGGTGTCTGAAGCTTGATTTGGGAGGGTTTCGGGGTTTTTACTTTTAGAACCAACATTTTTCCAATATTCTTTAAGTGTTTCGTTAAATTCTTTTGGGTCACATATAATATGGTTAGGGTCATTTGGGTCTTTCATTCTAATGGGGAAATTGCTCTTTGTATTGAATTTTTTCAGCGCTTTCCAATAACTTTTTGAAGATTTCGACTTATTACGGGCGTTGTTGGTAATTATTCTAACACTGTGCAAAATGTGCGGTATCTCTCGTTTTATTTCAAGAGATTTGGACAAATAGTTTATATATATCTCTAGAATCCCCCAAAATATAGTTAGATATAATATCTCTGATACGGACAAATTTGCGTATCGAACCAGTTCTACTTAACTACAGTATTTGACGGTATGCCACAGAATAGGTCCCATATTATACCCGTGGTAATCAGGAGATTTCCTAACTATACTATACATCTTCTATTTATACTCTTAAAACACTGACTATTCTTTACTATTCATATAATATCGGACATGAAGAACAAGAGGTACGCTGCCTATTCTGTGCTAAAAACAGCAGATATCAGCTTATATCAGGATATACTCTCATATCAGACTTTCCAAAACAGAAGATACAGTAACTATACGAAATGACGTCATCAAGTCTCATAATTTGCAACGCTTATTAGGTAACATCACTTATCTGGCTTATTAAAGGCCCCATGTAAAGTTTAAACCACTTTGGCTTATATTGTAGTCTTACCCAATGTTATCAAAGTGTGATATGTGAAACTTTTTTTTTTAATTTCAAAAAGTGGTTTTTGATAGACTTTTTGTTCCAAAATTTGTAAATTTATTTAAAACCAACTTTTAGAGGTCACTCATATCTTCTAATTAGCCACAGTTCATACCAATGCATAGCATACATCCTCCCATGTTTTTTGCCGAAAAAATTAAGAAAATCGGTTGATAAACAAGCAAGGAATGAACTTATCAGTACATGAAAATGGTTCTGAGAAAAATGCATTTCAAAATTTTATTTCTCATAGAAACCAATGGTACAATGATATCTAAAACATAATTTATTCTTCCTTTTAACCTGGTTAGACAATCAACATTGGTTTTTTATGAAAGTCTAGCATATTTAGAAAATATTGACATCGAAAAAAAAAATTCAATTTTTTTCAAAAAGTTTTTGTTACCTTAGTGACATCACTAATGTTTCAAAATATTTTTGATAAGCTAAAACATTGAAGTGGCCCATTAAATATGACATTTTATTATTGAAATAGTGTGTCTTTTGTTCAATCTTTGCATTGGTGTTAAAAATATAATCTTTTTTGAAATGCATTAAGAAATATTTGATGATTAAGAAATTTCAACTTTTTTTGAAAAATGGCGGGAAATTTGAATATTTGAGAAATGAAATGCTCACAACTTTTTTTTCAAAAAAAAATTTTTGTTCAAAAATCTCTTAAATCACTTTTTAAGTCCTGACAAATAGTAAATGAATGATAAAAAAATATTTTCAAACTTTAGACGGGGACTCCGGTAGTTAAGTCATTAAATAAACAAATATGGAGAATCTGAACCATATTCTTTATCTCTTGTTTATCAATAAAGTTTAATGTTAATAAAATAAAGAACTGTAATGTTAGCAATTAGGTTTTAGGTAATGTACAGCATTCTTCGGTACATACTGTACTGTTAATAATAATTTAATTATTATTCAATAATTAATCCGTATGTTAGGGTAGATTAATCTCTACAGCTGATGGCTCTTAATTCCACAAAAATAATTTGCAAAATAAGTTTTTTCATATATATTTGATTGTATAATGTCCCTCATGTAATGATTAACATTGTGTTAAATTTTTATTCAATCAATTAAATCATTGTAAAGTTAATTTTTGAATTTCTAATTAATTGGTTTTCCTCACATTTTTATTCCATTGTTTCTCTGTCACATTAAGTTTATAGCAAACAACATTTAAATCCCCCTCTAACAAAGGTACGAACAACCATTCACTTTGCCAACCAAAACAACAGTCATGACACAGAACTGCTCAATATTCAATAAACACATTATGCATTTTATACAGACCCGTACCTAAGGACCTCTCCCCCCCTACCCGTGGCCAACAATTCTTTCAAGATCATGTAGTTTTTCACCATTCACATACATGTATTGACATTTCAGAGCAATGTAATAAGCCAAACTTTAATCCCTAATTATTCAATTTCTATGATTTGAGTTTTGTTCACACTGATAGATAATCTGTTTGTTAGAGTTAATGGATTATTTTCTACAGCCGATGGTTCTAATTTGAACCAACAAATAATTTGCAAATTAAGTTTTTCATAATTATTTGATTGTATAATGTCCCTTATGTTATGATTAACATTGTGTTAAAATTTGGATTTAATTGATTGACTCAACGGAAAGTTAATTTTTAATCAATGGGTTTCTTTACATTTTTACTCCATTGGGTTTCCTCACAATTTAACTCAATTGTTTCTCTGTCAAAATCCTATTTAGTTTTACCAATCTGGGCACTGTTAAGTGATTATGGGCCAAAATTGACAAATTGTGAACCGTTGGTATGTTTTGAAAATTGATCCTCAGGGCTAAAACTTATTACGAGGCTTTAATATATTGGATGTATTGCCCCGATTTCTTCTTTGAGCAAATTGGAGCATGGTAGAACAAACTGATGTAAATAACATATTGACACACAGTATGTCAGAGCAATATGATAAGTAAAACTATTATCCCCAATTATTCAATTTCTCTAATATGAGTTTCGTTAACACTAATAACTAATCCATTTGTTAGTGGTAATGGATCAATTTCCT